TCATTCTATTTACCCACCCCACTGAGCAAACCGTTCACGAACACAGCTTGAACTGGGCCATTCAGACCTTCCAAAGCAGAACCTTTGTAGGCAGAACTTCCTGAGCAAATGTAAGTCTAGTTTCCATTTTTTAAGACGGGATGCAATTGGCAATCACCTTTACACAGACAGTAAGTAGTCTAGGTAAACATTTAGTAAAGATCACCGATCTAGGAGGGCCTGCACTCCTGAATAAGACACTAGTATAGGGACTCCATCACTATATACAATAGTACCTTGGTGTGCAAGCATAATTTGTTCTGGAAACAAACTACTCGTATTGCAAGACATCGCTCGTTTACCCAGTTAAAATGTATTAGAAATGTTTGTTCATCTTGCGGAACACTCGCAAACCAAGTCACTCGCAATCCAAGGTTTCACTGTCTCTTTTTTTGCAACTGACCCTTGAAATAACAAATCTAAATGTATATCCCTGGATGCTGCTACTGGCCCACCTGATGACAATTCTGGCTCTGTGCTCAGGACAATCTTCTCCCCCTCACAGTCAATCACGCCCACCTGCTGTTCTTCCACACACCTTTTAACACCTGGCCTAAATTCCACAGCCTCCTGAACTTCTCTCCACTTTCAACAGAGGTGACTGTTCCCTCCTCTGTGCTCCCATACCAATTATTGTCTGCTTTAAGATTGCTGTGTAAGCTCGCATTTCCCCTTGACTTGATGAGAAGGCCATGGGCAAAAGGGACAAAATGTCACCTTGATCGTTGTCCCTTCCCCACAATGTCTTTCATGTATCCAGCTTTCCATGAACAATCGCTGAATGTAAGGACTGGGCTTGTTGGTCTAACTCAATCGTATGTGTATACATGAAGGTGTGGAATAAGGATTTGGTACATAGCACCATATTTGTGGTAAAATTTTCTTGTACTTTACAGAAAGCTATTCTTCATAACCAATTCCTGACTTGTTTTTAGGTAGGCTTAACTTATCTTATGGTTTTGATGTTGTTTCCTTTGGGTTTCTTTTTTAAATGTATGGAGATTTATCAGTGAAACTAATCTATCATTTCAGCTAAGAAATTAGCGTCATCCACCCAATCTTAAAGGGAGTTGTAGTTTATGGTGAACCACTTCCTTGCCTGATGTCCTTTAATGCGTGCAATCGTGATTTTACTTATCTAATTTGTCAGCACCCTCCAAAACCCTGCCGGTCACTAGAGCATTTTTGAAACCAACTGACTGAGGGAACAAATAGCTGAAGAACTGAAAATAGCCTCTTGCCTCTAGAGACCCACTCAAAAGCTGTAGCTCCTACACAGATTTCAATCCTGGGTTCTTCCCTTCTTTAAGGTCTTGGCTACTTTCTAGTTGTATCTGGGCAGGATGGGGGGGGAGATGGAGAGGACCCTGATATTATCATATACAAGATGCCATATTCCAAAAGCTTTGCCCTCTTCAAGATAATCCCCCCAAATAGTTTTCCCCTAACAATTTCCCACTTACTACTACCAGTTGAGTGTCTCTCATATTTTCCTCTTTGCCATATATATGACTTTCAAGACTTTTGCCTTTTCTGCATACCGCCTGTACTTTCTAAATCATTTAAAAAACTTATTTCCTCTTTTTACTTAAGTAAAGTCTCACCTTAGCATCCCCAACCTCACCTAAAGATCTGTAGAGTAAGGGAAGCTGAGGTTTCCCAAATCCCTCCACTGCTCCCCTCAGATTCTTACCACCAGGGCCACAGAACCTTGCACACAAAGGGGGCTCTGTAAATAGTGGCAGAATGAGTGAACCTGTCAACACTGCTAAGAAGACTGTGATCACCTTCCCATTCCTCCTTTTGCCTAGTCTGGCTTGTAAATACCCTGAAATTGGTGGTCCCGATGTTATGACTTGTCATTTACAAATTTTGTAATCATCTAAAATGACCGAGTTGGTCTTCAATTTATTTATGTTGAACTATGCCAAGAGGTGTGGTCTTATTTGTATTCCTCCCATCCAACCCTTCCAAACTGATGTGTGTGTGTGCGCGCACACACACACACACACACAATTTTAAAATTGTCACAGCAATTGAAAAAAAAATACAGTGAGACTAAGAAGCTCACTATTAAAGTAGGGTGGAGCTGTTCTCCTTCACAGCTTGAATTGTTTGCTTTGGTGATCAACCCAAGCTAGTAAACAACCCAAATCACAAGTTCAGCCTTTTCATGAGCCAAATTCATCAATTTAAAACCAAAATACATGTTCATATTTGCTGACACTGTTTAGACAGCTTATGTAACAATATTCAACTCAGCTGGGTAGATTGGCTAAAAGTGATAGAGCTTCCTTGGTACAGAAGATTTTAGATAAAAACAGGGTTTTAAATTAAAATGACTAGCTGGAGCAGCTTTGCAGAACAACTTTAAAAATCCCCAAGCCACAAACATACTCACAAGTGAAATATTTGCACTATCCACCCATTGCTTTGGTCCCCCTACGTTAATAGCACTTAGCAAGCACAGGAGTTTGCCTGTAAGAAGATGTGCTTAAGTCTCCTTAGACATGCAAACTGATAGACAAGTTTGGTTTTTTTTACTTAAGTGTCATAAAAGTTCTTATGAGTTTCCTTCATCTTGAATCCACAACACCTAAGAAAGTGACCTCTTTATGTGAATTCAATGAATATCTATTGTAGTAAGAAGGGGCCAAGGATTGTGAAGCTTAACTATTGGAATGGAATATGTCCAGCCCATAGTAGGCACTAAATAATGGCAACTGTAATATTATTATCAAATTGAACAAGCACTCACTGAACAGAAACCTGAGAGATGGCATGGTAAAGTAGAAATTTAACTGAGCTTGGAGGGGGTCGTGATGGCAGACAGGGGTTGAGAACCTACCCTTATAGACCTTGGAGAGAGACAGAGATTCTGCCCAGCTGCCACTAGGAAGCCAAAGTGAAATTGCCAAGTCAATGCCCCCAGACCATCCTTCCAGGCCTGGGAGTGCTCCAGGTTACACACAGAGGAGCCTTGTCAGCTGTTCCTGTCACTGAGGCTTGAGATCCTTCGATGGGCTACTGCCTGCATAGCATCCCTGGATCATCTAAGCCGACTCCTGACTGTGCTCCAAGACTTTGCCACGCCCCATCCAAATTGGCAAACTGCTCCTTCTCCCCCCGTTTTTCAACAGTCAGGGGACAATCATAATCTCCCCTAAACAGAGCGTGAGAGACCTTAGATCCAGAGAGGTGAGGATAAATTTGGAAGGGAGAGCACCGTAACCTGCATTTGGGTGGGACTAAATGGTCAAGAAACTCTTGCCAGTAATCATGAGTTTTGCTGCCTCTGTTACTGGACAAGACCCTTACTTTTCTGAGCTGCCTTTCCTCATCCGAAAATACTATTTCCTTCTAGCTCTTACTTTGCCTTAATTGAAAGTTATCCATTTTAATTACTTCAATTTTATCGCCTTGACCTAATAAACGTGTTTTCATCACAGCACCTCTTTTTCTAAAGACACCATCCCTTCGTTAAGTTAGCTTTATTCTACAGAACTGATCTGCTGCCACTTTGTTCTAGCAATGAAAGTTTCAAGTTTAAAAAAGTATTGAGTTCAGTTCTTGGGACAACTAAGCCATGTACATAATTTGGTAGATCACTTAAATAAAATGCATGTGGTAAGAAATGAAAAATGAAATTCTTGAAACCAGAATATGACTTAACACCCACTGTACCAAAAATAGTTCACATCTGCTTTCTGTTTTTGCTCTTGAAAACAGGTTAGTTTTATCACAGATTCAAGCTTCAGATGGCCCCACCCAGCCTCCTGAGGTCTTGAACATATGACCTTGGTTCTCCGTCTCTCCATCCATAAACTAAGCAAGTGGAACCACGTCTCTCACATCCTTTCCAGGCTGTCAGGTCCCAACTGTGATCCATTTTAAATTGCACTGTGCAGTGGCCAAAATCAACATAAACCCAAAAAACATTATCTCAGTTACCATATCTAATCATAAGTCAGGGCTAACACCAAACCCTTCTCCTCAGTTTGAAGTCTCCCCGATTCTCAGAAAGCTCCCCACTCTGTGCTCATTTCAGTGTCTATCGCGCTGAGCTCCCTTCTTAGCTTATTGATTGCCTCCCCAGGGACTGCATCTGCCCCATAAAGCCTCTGTCTTCAGAGCCTGCTGAAATTCCCACTCAATGGCTTTCACCCACCTAGCCCCAAACTCCTGGTATTTGCAATAATCTGTCTCGTCCTACACCTTTGCCTCTTCCTTCTAGGACAGTGTCTTAAGAGTTGTCGGTGATCACTCCTGAAGTGCCGGTAAAGACGGCAGATTCCAAGGACCTTCGTGATTCGGGATTTCTGGGGGTGGCGCCCAAGGCAGCTTTCTTGCAACAAGCTTCCCTGACGATTTTAGGCCTACGAGTTTGCAATTCACTGCTCTTTCAACGGCTTCGTTAGCTTTCTTTTCTTCTTTTTTTAATGGAAAAGGTGCTATACTGGAGTTTTTTTACTAAGAATATAAGAGGGGGTGAATAAAACAGGCGAGGTGGGGAGACGGTCGTTCAAAGCTCTCTCGAGAACCTGGAAGTGCTGGTGCTGTCGGCCTATCTCCGGGAAAGAAGAGAAATTAAGTCTGGGGCGCGCGCGCCCGACGCCCCAACAGACCGTCGAAAGGCCGCGAGTCAGCCGTCGAGGCCACGGCCCTCGGGACCGCCAGGCTGCGGGAAGTGAGGGGCAAACCCTCCGCAGCAGCCCAGCCTTCGAGGCTCTGCCGCGCCTAGAGCTTGGGATCCTGCCAGGCGGCCTCCCCGCTCCCGTTACCATTGGCAACAGTGGCCGCCCCGAAAGTTAGCGTGGCGCGAAAAGGCGGGACTTCCCGGCTCTGGAAGCCAATGCGCATGCAGCGGTCGGCCGGTCATACGGAACTTCCGGTCGCGTGATCTTGAGGACCAATAAAAGTGAACAACTCCAGGGTCACGTGCCTCCGTTCCCATTAGCAACCGGAGGCTTCTAAACAACCCGCCCTCCCTCCGCATCCTCTGCGGTCCAACCAAGCTCGGCGATCCCACTGTTTAGCTAGGTTTCCGCGCCTCGAGGCTGCTGACTGCCGCCCGTCGCCATGGTGAGTAGCCGGCGCGCTGGCGCCGCGCCGCGCGGAGGAGAGGGCAGTGGTCAGGGCTGGAGGCGCGGAGCTGGGGCCCCGGAGTGATGGCGTGGCGTGCAATGGGTCTGAGTCCGCTCCTGGGCCTCCCTGAGGAGGGGAGGCTGTGCCGGGTACGGGGGCTCAGCTAAGCTCGGCCTAAGCCCTTCCCGGATAGTCCTGGGTGAAGTCTTCCAGCAGCCTCGCTCCGCCGCTTCGCTTTATTCCTCACCCCTGCCTGGGGTGCCCGAGCCAAGTCACACCTCGCAGGCGAATGGTGAAGAGAGCTAGCGGGAACCGGAGGCCAGCAGAAGGCGCAGGGCGGGATTCTCATCAGATCCCCAAAACTCCCCAAGTTTTTGCACACACCCTTTGGCGGCATAAACAAGATGTGTTAACGAGCCTGCGGGGAGAGCGTGATTGAATCCAGCTTTCTGATGTGAGAGCGACTTTAAGAGTCCAAGCCCCCTATTTGACTGCTGAGGAAACTTAGATGACGCTTCGTTCGGTTTGACCGGTTCCAAAGAGGCCCCGTTTTCCTGTATGCTCAAGCATATCCCATTAATCTCTCCAGAGGCTATAGTGTGCCAGCTTAACTCGCCACCATACTTAGAACATTGCACAATACTACAGTGTTCAGAAAAAGGGATGAACCACAGTTGGGGGCACCATTGAAATGGACAACTGAAATACCTCAGCAACCAGACAGAATTCTTAGTTAGCCCGCACGTTCTTGCAACTGAGGTGCAGCTGTGGACAAAACACCATTCCCTACCCTTCTGGATTTCCCTAAAATACCAAAAACAACGTGAAAAAATGATGATGGTGATGTCTCAACACACAAAAATGGACATCTGCTCCCACTCTAGCTTCCCTCATTCCTTGCTATCAATTTGCTTGACAACGGAAGCTTTGGAGTCAGGCTCGGTTTCTTCATTAGTAAATTGCAGATAATAATAATTAAGCTAGGTCTGATAATATGATAAATGAGTTGATGCATGTAAAATGAATCGCACAGTACCCGTTAAAATATTAAGCATTCAATCTATGATAGATTT